CTGCTGGGGGAGAGGCGGCTGAGCTCGGCTGGCAGCGGCTGGAGCTCCTTCCCCCTCCTGCCGGCCCCGCGGAGCTTCCCCGGGGGGCAGAGCCGGAGCCTGCGGCTGGAACTGGAGAGCCACGGGGATGGCAGCGATGTCATGGCTCAGATCAATGCCAGCCGGTCCCACCAGCCCTTCCTGGTGACCAAGGTGAAGGTGAGGGAGCCCGAACACCGCGTGGCCAAGCGCAGCCTCCGCTGCAGCCAGAACTCCAAGCTGTGCTGCCGCAAGGATTACTACGTGGATTTCCGCGACATCGGCTGGAACGACTGGATCATCAAGCCCGAGGGCTACCAGATAAATTACTGCGTGGGCCAGTGCCCTCTGCACGTGGCAGGCAGCCCTGGCATGGCCTCTTCCTTCCACACGGCCGTCTTCAACCTCGTCAAAGCCAACAACATCCAGGCGTCGGGGCATTCCTGCTGCGTGCCCACGCGGCGCAGGCCGCTCTCCGTCCTCTACTTCGATCGCAACAGCAATATCGTCAAGACTGACATTCCCGACATGATTGTTGATGCTTGTGGCTGTAGTTAGGGCTGGGGGAGCTGTGCTGGGTCCCCTTTTCTCCAGGACCGTCCCTCTGGTGGAGCGGGAGGGAGCTCCATGAGCCGGAGGCAGCCCTCGGTGCAATGGACTCCTTTGGAAAGGTTGGGAGGGAGAGGATCTCACCGGTGGGAGCAGGGAATCTGCAGAGAGTGCCTGGAGCAGGGGGCTCTGGGGACATGGGACAGAGCCACGGCCACACTGGACTGCCCAGGCCTGGGCTGTGCATGTTGATGACTCTGGACATCCCTGCCTGAGCTGTTCCCAAGCTGAGCCCGCACTCCTGGTGCTGTGGGGGCCCCGTTTGGTTCATTCAGTGTCTGATGAGTGGTTGGGACGGGGCTTCCTTGGGGGCAGAGTGGATGCAGAAACGGAGCTGTTTCCTCCACATGGGAATCTGGAGGACAAAGCAGTCCTGCTTGCTTCCCTTCTGGAACAAACCTTCCTGCATCCAACTCAGGCCTCCTTCTGGGGACAGATGGAATGGGGCACAAATAACAGGCCTGGGAGAGGAGGATGAAGGGTACAACTTCATCACGAAACTCAAAACATCAGTGACTGGACAAAGTTCTCAGATCCCTGGAGGGTGTGGAGCTGTGAGGACCAAACTTGGAGGTCCTGGTGTTCTCCCCCTGTCCCAGGGTTTGTGCTTTCCTCCCCTGCTCCCACCCACCAGCCGGGTCTCCTCCAGCCTGGTGCCTCCATAAGGGGAGATCTGCCTCAAACTTTGCCTTCAAGACCTCACTCAAGGAACAGATTTGGTTTGTGCCACTGGTTTTGCAGCCGTTGGGACACCCTGGTGCTCCATCCTCTGCTGAAGATCCCACTCTGCCTTCCCCCTTCTCGTGCACCCACATGACCTCCTCTTTAATTTATTACACAACATTTTGGTGCAGCTTCCCAAATAAACGGATGGAAATGCAAGACCCAGGCTCTGGTTGATTTTTCCTGGGACCACCACACAGATGGGATGAGGGAGAGGGGTCCTGCTCGGCCAGAAGGGCCCAGATCCCTCAGGGACTGGGGCAGGAGTAGCACAGGGGCTGCACATCACTGCCAGAGTGGAAGATGTGGGAAGCTGGGGGGTTTGAGGGGCTCCTGGAGTGCTCACGAGGCCTCTGCAGGGGGGCCCTGCCTCAAATGGGGTTCCCAGGAATCAGGCAGGGGCTGGGAATCAGGTACCACCTCACTGGGGTCTGCAGTGGGAGCATCAAAGCTGTGTCCCAGCAGGGCAGGTACTGGGAGGCATCAGCCAGCGGGGAGATGCTGTTCTCCACCTGGAGCAACCCCAGATGGAGCTCTGGTCGCTCTGGCTCCAGGGGGGTGATTCCAAATGCTGAGCCACAGCCCAGCCCCAAATCCTGGGCCCCACTGCACACCCTCTGACGATGTCCCACCTCCCTAATCCCCCTCATGTGCTCCCCAAAACACCACCCAGAGACCCCAGCCTCAGCCCCATCACAGACACGGGCTCTGGTGGCTGATGGGGAGTCTCCTGCGGGATTTGGGGTGGGATGCTCCTGGAGCAGGAGGCAATGCCCCCTTCTCATCCCGCTGCGATCCCACACGCTGGCCTGGCTCCCCGTTGCGCAAGCACCCGCTCAAAGCTCAGTTTGGGGCTGTTTTATCTGGGGACAAACCTCCTTGATTTCCCAGCTTGGCCCTGCCAGCGATCAAAGGGCGGCTTTCATCAGCCGGTGCAGCGGGCAACCCCCGGCAGCCGGGGCACTGCGGCCATCACCCCGCTCCCAAAATATCCCTGCCGTGGGCAAAAGCCAGCGGTGGCTGCAGGATGCCTCGGCCTCCCGGGTGCTCCCACAGCCCCAGTCCGGGTCCTGGGGGCACGTGCTGCCGTGCACACGCTGGGAGCTGCATCTCCAGGAAGCACATGGAGATGTGTGCGGTGCCTGCAGAGCCTCCCCGTTCCCCTCCCAAATCAGAGTTTCGGTACAGAATGCATCCAGCCACGTGGAGCATCCCACCGAGGCAGCAGAAATGGGTTTGCTGTTGTCAGTGAGGGAGGTTTTCCTCTGTTTTCCCCGTGGCACTGAGTGTGTTCCCGTGTGGAGGGGCTGTCCACACGCGTGTGCTGACTCACTGACACACTGACACGCTGCCCCCACGCCGAGGTGCTGAGCTGGCCACGGTGGCACCGCTAAATCCCTCACCTGGGGCATCATCCGGCCCTGCTCTGAGCTGCTTTGACTTTCCCAAACAGGAGATGAGGATTATTGGCGAGGTGAGGGATGTGGCAGGGTCGGGCTGTGGTGGGTGAGAGCTGCTCCGAGGGGGTGCCCAGGTGTTGGTTCCACCCAGGGGCTGGGAGCCGGTGGCAGAGGGGACCTGGGACAGTCTCGCCCATGGTCAGGAGAGGGGGGTGGGCTCGGGGCGAGTCCCCGGAACCCAAGCAGCTTATCCAGGGTCACAGTCATGGCAGGGGTAAAGCTGCTGAGCCGCTTATGATCGTTACAAAACGGGGGTGGAGGCGGTTCCTCCCCTGCACCCACCCCTCACCTGTGCCCACCCCCTCACCTGCACCCACCCCCTCACCT